GTTTGGTGAAGCCCTGGATCCTGATGTTCTCACAGCAGTCGAGAAGGAGCTTGATATTTGTGACCTCTGCTTGGTAGTGAGTAGCACTTTCATTACCTGTCCTCTGAACCGGCAGGGAAGCCACGCTAAGGAGGTTGCACCTCCTGGGTAAAGCAGATGTATCTGTGCTTCTCTGAGGAGCTAAAAGCCCCTGAGGGACTCTCTAGTGTCAAGTGTAAAACATTAAAAGACTTTGAAGTTTGGACATATTAACAGACTGCTCAGAAATTAACAGATACACAGGTGTTAGAGGTTAGCCAATATTGTTTAGCTGTTGAATTTCACACCCCCTCTACTCTGCTCTCGTGAGACCCTCACTTGGAATACTGCATACAGTTCTGGTACCCCCAGTGTAAGAAGGACATGGAACTGTTGGACTGAGTCTAGAGGGCCGTGAAGATGATCCAGGCAGCTGAAGCACCTCTTCTATGAAGACAGGCTGAGAGGGCTGGAGAAGAGAAGACTCTGGGAAGACTTTATAGGAGCCCAGAGAATTTGTAGGTGCCTAATCCCTGGAGGTGTTCCAGGCCAGGTTGGATGGGGCTCTGATCAACCTGGTGTAGCAAAAGGTGTTCCTGCCCATGGCAGGGGAATTCAAACTAGATGATCTTTAGGATCCTTTCCAACCCAAACCTTATTATAGATCTAATTTCTCAAACAGTGAAAAATACATTTATTTTGATGCTCAGTCTAAAAGAAAGGAAGTGACTAAATGCTGTAAGAAGGTAGGTAGCTGTTATCCTGTGCTGCCCTTTTTGTGAGGTAGTTTACATGCACCATGTAGGTTCCAGATCCCTGAGCAAAACACTTGCTCAGAATATTGTGTTCTCTTTACTGAATAATTTCAAGTAACACAAGGAATGTCTTGGGGTTTTTTCCCCTGGAGACAAAGTTTTGTTTCTGGGATTTTTTTTTCATCTAGAGTTCTAATGCACAAACAAGCTTCTTTGGGCTGTATCAGAGAAACAATTCCTGATTCTTATGCTATGTTAAATAGTTACATATGCAGTAACACTGATTGGAGATACTGGTTTGGTTTAATTTCTGTAGGGATTTTCCATGGTTTAGTGGCTTTTGCACATAAGAGTGTTCTGAGAAGGACCCTCACCCAAGGGGTTGGGTTGGTTTTGTCTGTTTTAACCACTGTCCTGCTACACTTGTGATTTATTTCCCCGTCCCTGCAGGTCGGGACCTCCTCCGTGGTTTATCCTGCAGCCATGTTTGCCCCTCAGGTCTCGGCCAGAGGAGTGCCAGTCGCAGAATTTAACATGGAAGCTACTCCTGCCACAAACAGATTCAGGTAAAGCTGTTCAAAGTAGCTGCCTTTAGGCCCCTCCACGTTCATTGTCTTTTGCATCCAACTGCTAAAATGCTGGTTTTAGACAAATATGGTATAGTTTTCTGCCCAACGCTTAAGAAATATTAATTTATTTTAATAAGTAAGAACAGATGATAGTTTTTTCATGGTGGAATTAAGTTTTACTAAAGACACAACTGCGGTTTCCTAAGCGTGGGGGTGAAGTCTGTCCCTAAGCCCCAGACGGCCTACAACCCTCTCCCGCTCTTCCCTCCTCTCCCCCCCTGCCAGAGGTGCTCGGGCGCTGCCAGATAAGGAAGCAGCAAAAAGCAGGATGCGCTGGTGGCTGCCCGCGCCTAAAACCGGCCGCTCCCTTCCAGGTTTCACTTCCCGGGCCCCTGCGGGACTACGCTGCCGCCGGCACTGGCGCGACACGAGACGGAGATCATCTCCTGAGCTCCGGGAGCGGCCCGACGGGAGCAACGCGGCGGAGGCACGGCGGGCGGGGAGGGAGCGGGCGGCTGAGAGGAGGCGGCGGGTCTCGCCGGACGGTCCTCACGGCAATAAAGGGGCGGTCGGGACCCGCCGCCGCCACTTCCCGGTGTCCTGTGTCTGTCGGCGCGCGCCCGGGGGGCGGGGCACGGAGGCGGGGGTTCCCTGGCGCACGGCATTCCCCGGCGGAAGGCGGGAGCAGTTCCGGGGCGGGCGGCGCAGGGACCATGGCGATGGCGCGGCCGAGGAAGGCGGCGGCGGCTGCGGGCAAGCGCAGGCCTCCCGCCGCGCTGCCCAGCCCGGCCTCCTCCTCGGAGGACGAGGCGGACGAGGCCCCGGAGCAGGTGTCCTTCGGCGTGGCGAGGGAGGCGGCCGAGGCTGAGAGGAAGCTCGTGGGGGAGGCGGCCCGGAGGTGCGGACACACACGCGGACCCCGAACGACCATTCTCGGGCACTTCACCCCTCTTGTCCCGTGCTCCCTCTTCGCCCCTTTTACTCCCCCCTTACTACCCCTGCTCTCCTCTTACGGCTCTCCTTACCGTGCTCTAGTCCTCCCTTTATTCCCCTCTTATCCCCCCCTAACATCCCCTTACCCTCCTTCTAACTCCCTTCACCTGTCTTACTCCGCAATCCCCTCTCTTACCCTGCCTTCACCCCTCTTACCCTTCGTTATCCCCCCCTTATTCCCCTTCACCTTTCTTGCCGTCCTCCCTTATCCCACCCTCCCCCTTCTTATTCCCCCCTTCTCCCCGTCTTATTCCCTTCCTTCCTTCTCGCCTTTATGCCTCTCCTACTCCGCATCCGTGCTGACTGCGCCTCCCGCCTCCCCGCAGGCACCGGGAGCTGCTGAAGGAGAAGCGGCGGCGGCACCAGGAGCTGTTCGCGGAGCAGAAGGTACAGCGCTGTCCCCCCACCCGCTCCCACCCGGCTCCGGGCGGGCAGTGGGTGAACGCCCGCCTGACTCCCCTCTCCCCCGCAGAAGCGGAGGTTGCTGCCCGAGGCCGTGCTGCAGGAGCTGCAGGAACTGCAGGATGTGGCCGCCACCCCTGCGCCGCCCGAAGGGTGAGGGGGTGTGGGGGGATCTGGGGTGTCTCGGTGGATGCTGCCCAGCCGGGTCCTGGCATTGGGAGGCCGGGCTTGAAACGGGAGTAGACGAAGTGAGTGTGAATTGGAAGAGTAACCTGTTGCTTTTTCCTTGCTCCCCAGACCTGCTGAGCAGGCTCCGGCAGATGACCAAGGTATGCTACAGCTCACTTTGCTAGCGCGGAGCGCTTCTCATATCTCAGGAGTTCATTTCTGTGCCAGAGCTGCAATGGGGAGTGCCCTGGTGAAAGTCTGAAACACGGACAAACTCTCTTTTCCCAAGGGAAAATCTAAAGACACATTTAATCTAATTCTTGGGCCTTTTATAGAAGTTGCTTGCTGTACAGTGATTTCAGTTAAAATAGCCTGAGGTGTTTAAGGAAGTCTTGAGCAGGTGTTGTAGCTGAAAAAGCAAGGATTACCAGAGATGGGTTAATATTCAGCACTTGTGTAAATTATAAAGGCTATTTCTGGATAGAGTTGTTAAATCATCTTGATACTTTACGCATCAAACTACAATTTAATAGCATCTGTAAAATATGAAATAACTTTTTTCAAATTCAGAACTACAAAATCAAGAGTCAAGAATGTTTATCACTGCTGTTTTCATCTGTACTTCAAAATACTTCACAAAACCCCTTTTATTTAAACAATTCTCTCATCCAGACCTCACCTAATTATATTGCTGGATGATGTAACTGCTACTTTTTCTTCTTTTTATTTAAAAAAGATCTATTGGCATAACAAAGAGATGAGCTGAGAACAAAGTGAGACTGAAGCTGAGGCTGGACTCCCATTTGTGGGTTACCTGTAGCTGTTGTGTTGCACTGAATTTTTTTCCTGTAATGAATCCCATTTTGTTGATGCCAAGGAAGAGGAAAGCTGGCTAGCAGCCACCAACTTTGGGTTGCTCCCTTGAGGCATGTTTCTTCCCTTCCTTCTCACAGCCCTTCTTACTACTCAGTGCTTCTGAAAAATGCTTGTTGTTTAATTCCTGTTCCTCTTATCAGTTTTGATTCATAATGTTTGGGAAATTTTGTTTTAAAGTTACTTCAGGTGAAGAACTTGAAGATGAGGCTGAGAAAGAGAAACAAGGCCAGGCCCAAGGGCAAGGCCAAGCCAAAACGCAGGTGAAGAAAGGCAAGGCAAGCAAGGGTGCCAGGTAGGAGGAGGAAGAGATGATCCAGGGTGTCTGCCCCATGTGGCTGCTTTTGCCTGGGGGATGGGGCATTGCAGCAGCTGTTCTGTCACTGCATGGCTGTACCCTCTTCTGCACTTCATGTTTCCCCTGCTCTTCCTCTGATTGAAAGCATAGTTATGTGCTGTAAGCATCTTTAATATCTTCTGCTATCGCATGCTTATGTAGAATCATAGAATGGATTGGATTCGAAGGGACCTTACTTAAAGATCACCTACTGCCAACCAACCCCCCCTGCCATGGGTAGCAACACTTTCCTCTTAGGCCAGGTTGCTCAGAGCTCCATCCAACCTGGCTTGAACACCTTCAGAGATTGGACATTCACAACTTCTCTGGGCAACCTGTTCCAGTGCCTCACCACCCTCACAGTAAAGACATTTTTTCCTAATATCTAATCTAAACCTACTCTCTTTTAGTTTGAAGCCATTCCCCCTTGTCCTGTCACTACATGCCCTTGTAAAAAGTCCCTCTCATCTTTCTTGCAGGCTCTCTTCAGTTACTGGGAGGTTCCAATTAGGCTGCCCTAAAGCCTTCTCTTTTCCAGGCTGAACATCCCCAATTCTCTCAACCTTAATGTGTGCATGCATATATATACATATATATATATATATATAACAAAATCTATAATATAAATAATTTTTATATGTTAAGTATATATAACTGCTATGAGATAACTGGGCAGTCATAAGCACAGCAGTACACACTGTGTTATGTGCTGCTACAAGTGGGGTGGTTGAGCACTGAATTCCTGCATTTTAATCTATTTTTCTTTTTTGCTCTTTATTTCTTTGTCACTGATGTCCCTAGAGAGGAATTGCACTGGCTTCTGGGAGAACTAGTTCAAGACTCCCAAGGAATGACTCAGGGCACACAAAAGCATATAACACCAGCTTCAGAGTTTTGGTTCTATTTTTAATTTTTTTTAATACTGCCACCAAGCTCATCTGAGCATCAGAAACCAGCAACTGCTGCAGTTGTGCTCAAGTAGCAAAGCTTGACACCAGTGTGTGTGTTGTTCTGGGTTCTGTAACCATGGTAAAGGGATTTACATCTGTCTTTTTAACTAGGTCAAAAGGAAACTACGCAGCTGTCTGCTTAAAAGATCAGAGTTTAACAGGCCTCCACCAACAGCTCGCCAAAGACTTTCTAAATGCTCAGCTCTATGGGCCACACACCAACCGGGTACAGGGTAAGCAGTTTTGGTTAGGCAGGTCTGCATCTAGTCTTGTCTGGCTTAAACTTGGTAATTAACACTCATTTCCATTTCAGCAAATGAATTTTTTTCACTTGCAAACAAGAAAGACCCAGTTAAAAAAGCTGCAGTTCAGTTTGTGGACAAATCTTGGGGTGAGTATAAAAAGTCAAAGTGGGTGCTACTTTTGTATATGTGGTTAAAAGTACACTTGAGTAAAACCAGTGTTCCTGTGTTAGAGGCCTGCAGCTTGTGACCCTCTAACCGAAGACTGATCATAAGGGAAGGGCAGCACAGCATTACAGCCTCAGTGGGTGTCGTGAGCATGCCCCTGGAGAGGGTGTGAGAGACACACACACAACTTGGGAAAAAATTGCCTCATTTTTGGTACATTAAGAAAGCACATTAAGAAAACCGCTGTTTCAGCCTCCAGCCTCTGAGCTGTTCGAAGGTGTTCCAGGTATTTGTAAAACCTAAAAGCAGGGATACCAAATTCCCAGAACTTCCGTGTGAGCACAGAGAAATAGCACCTATTGGGGACAGACACCCACACAGTCTGTGAGGCTCTCGAACACCAGAGACAAAAGTTATTGATCATTAAAGCGTGCAGGATCTGCTTTTCTCTTGTGCTCCATCACTGAAAGCACCGCTGTACCTGCATCCCCCTTCTGAAGGACCGTGGTGCAGGCCGGTACCCCTGGCCAGTTGAAGGCACCTGGTGTATGTAAAATACCATAGGAAGTTTATCAGCTTTCCAGTCAGTTATTCTGTTCTAAAATGCTGCAGCAGTCAATGGATTGCTGCTTCTACAGCAGAGGGGCAACTAACTAACAGCTATTTATTTTTTTCTTAAGGGCAAGAAAAAAAGGAAAAAGCAGCAAGGTTTAAGAAACGTTGGATCGCAACACAGACTAAAAATTGAGTCTGAAAACAGCTTTTTCAGAAGATGATATTAAGGACTTTTACTGAAAGTTAATCTCTCAAAACAACACTGTTTTTTTTTCCCCATTTCATCATCACTTTGCTTTCAGCTCCACCTACCAGAAGGCACCAACCTTCACCAAGCTGTGCCTGATCAGACTTTCCTGTTCTCTCCCCCTTTCAGAAGTTCTTGGGGAAGCTACAAAGCGATAGGAGCAGGGCAGTGTTGTAGAACAGCTGGTGTTAGGACCAGGCTTGTTGAGCTGCCTCTGTGAGGCAATGCCTTTGCAGAGAATAAAGATGAGCCATGTTGTACCTACTGTTGCGGATGCTGCATTTCTTACAGCAGCTTCAGTTACTTGCATCTCTAAAGGGAAGTCTGTACCCTAATAGCAGAATCACTAACTCAGCTCACACAGCAGGACACTTACTTCCCTCAAGCCTGATGGTTACTTTCAAGCAGTAAAGGAAAATCCCTTACTGCTTGAATAAGATTCTGTCAGTGCATGAACCCCCTAGCTAGACTCACTTTGTGGCAAGAACACGGCAAGCCTTTAACTTGTGACAGCCCAGCTGCTGCAGGGAAGGGGCATTCCTGGCTAGAGCCACATTCACGGGTCTATGTAAGAATTGCTGTTCTAGGAGGGAACTCTAGAACCAAGACAATGTAGCATACAACTCCATGCTACCATGTATGTAGAAGTAAGTTTTTAATGGCTGGTTAATTATGATATCACTACATTTTATTGCAATATAGTACTATTTAAGCACTTTTAAAAATGCAAGGTGTACAAAGATTAAATTAAGACTGTAAATTGACTAAATATTTGGTTTTTATATAAATAGGTCATAACCACACTGTGTTGACATGTAATACTGTTATAATACAACAGTTAAACTGGTGAGCCTACACAACAGAAGCTGTCTGTAGTTAAACAAGGAAACAAAGTTGAAAAGACCATGTTAAAACAAAAAACTACTAAGATCAACAGGTTGGGATTGTAAGTAGCAACAAACATATTCACTCAGCTCCTGAGTAATTCAAGTTTTACAGTACACATTAAAAAATATCATTTCTTCCCATCAACACTATATATCCAAACCATTTGCATTTTGCAAATTACACTGATTGAACTATGTAACAATGGGGGTGGAGGTTGGCAAGTCATCCTGCTTGACATTTACATCACCCACATGCTAATACATCCATGTTTTCTAGTCTTCCGTCCCACCACAAGGTAGCAGGATTTTTGGTTTGTTTTGGACAATCGTTTAAAGGATTGGTACTTGTCAATTTGGATGTCTGACGTTACCAGTGATATTTTCAACTCTTAGTTGTCTAAGAGGTTTAAAGATGGAAATTTTCTCCTAACACTAAGTTAGAAATCATTTGCATCATGCTGTAAACTAGGAAGCAACATAAAGCGACAGACTTGTCCTTAGTACATAATTAAAATTCCAAATTCCAGTCAGCAGAGCTGGTCTACTTTCCATGTTGAATATGCCACAACACCTTTCAGACCTTCAAATGCATAGCTAGTGTAGGTAGTCTTCCACTGTGGCGAACGCACAGGATCCAATGCCTGACCGAGCCATCAATCCTAGACACTGTGATGCCTGTCCCATGGCCAGGGCAAGTGGTGGTTGCTTTGGCAGATTGTGAGTCTCTGGAAAAGAATCACAGTGGCAGTTAAAATACCTGATTAATTTCATAGCAATACACTGAAACCTTGATATTTAAGCTTGCTTCAATCACTCATTTCAAAATTCCTGTGTTTACTTTCAAAGTTTGTTGCTCCTCCACTGTCTGGCTCTAAGAGCAAAGTGACATTTTCAAATTCCCTGCATAAGCACCATTATTGAATAGGCCCATTTTTGGGCTGAAGAATAAAAACAGACAAGCACTTGTTACATTAAAGTGCCCCCCAAAACTACCCCTGTCTTCCTGAAAGAGTGTATCCTAACATTGCTATCCTTCATTACTCACTCAGTGAGTGTGATGCGCGGTGAGCAGCAGGGTGAGCAGTAGGGTCGCCTGTGTGGGACGAGAGAAAGGCACTGCCCACCACACATGGCAGCCTCCAGGCCATACCTACCTAGTATTGCACTATTAAGTACAGAGCACACTGGTTCTCTTTGTATCGGGTCAAGCTGATTTCCAACAGGGCTGCTCCAGGGATCGGAATACGCGAGTAAACTGAATGCATCCTGTGGGAAGATGATTTTTATTACATTTCACAGCTATATGCTACTAGTGAAAACAAGGACTATTCGCTTATTTTGATTCAGTATCATGAAAGTAACTGTCAGTGCCTATCAGTACAAAAGGATAAAAAAATTGTGACAGGGCTTGTTCCCCTTGGAGCAAGCAGTGTTCTTCCCAACAGCAAGACAAAAGGTAGCGGTATTTTAGTAAGTGATGGGGTAAGAGAAAACAGACTGAAAACTGCATGCAGTCTTTGGCCGGAGAATTCTTTTCCAGAGCAGTCTCAAATCAAGGTAAACTAATTAGCATGCAGAGTACTAAAGATACCACATTTTGGGCATCTCTACCAATCCTCATGTGGTTCATTTATCATTAGAGCCCAAAACAGCACTTTGATTCAAGAGGCCAAGTTACATGGTCAGAAATGAGAGTAAGGAAAGTGCTAAATTAATTTCTGGGTTTAATTGTACTACAGCACAAAATTATCTTCCCTGTGCATGTGCTACACAGACAAGACAGGAGACAGGGCTACACCACAGCTGACCAGAATACTGCTCTCAGACAGACACACACATACACAAAAAAAATGAGAGAAGTTAAAGCAGAACAGCATTCCAGCACTACATGCTGTGGGAAGTTCCTGCTGGGCAGCACAGTTATTCACCTTAACACCACAGTTTCAAGATTAAAAATACCTTGAGCATTTTCTTATTCACTGTGTTTTTGCCACATTCTCTTCTTAGTTGCTCACTCATTGCTTGCAACTCTCTTCCAAAATGGATCATCCTTTCAATGGCTGCTTGGCTGCCACCACAGAGCTGACGTCTTAACTGACTTGAATCTACTTCTGCAAAAACGATACCGTCATCATCACCACTAATAGAGCTGAAAGTAACAACCTGTGGATCTACAGAATCTGCACTGATTTCACTCTAAAAAACCATCTGCCTTCTCAGAGAGACCTTGGCACCATATACTTCTGCACTGAGCACTGCTAAATTGCTCATTTATAAACATTTAAGAGACTTCATTAACTAACAGCAGAGGCTGTTGACATGTGCTGTTTATTTTGCAATGATTAATTTAAAACTAACTAGACTATAAACCAAATTTTATCCTAAAATTTTACGGGAGTTTAAAAAACAACAATAAAAATCCACACAGTTCTATTTTTTTAATTCTCTGGCATTGCACTTCTAAAGATGTGCCACATCCGGAACTGCTAAAAGAGGGTAAAAACCCCTGAACTTCCTGAACAGCCATGATGGAAGACATTCTACAAGGAGTATGAACAGTCTAAATGATTATGTTATCTTAATAATTCAAACATTTCAGGCTTCTTTTGTAATCAAGCAGAACATTACCATTGATTTCTTTACTGTTTGCTACAACATTCCCCAACACTAGTGATTTTAAAAAATATTGATGCAAATTATGAATAGTAAATTAATCCTTGGCTTCTCTGAAAGTTCTGTCTTTTTAAAATTTACAATTAAAGCAACATATTAAAAAAAAGGCATTTATCCGTTCCTTGCCTTTTTTCATCAATGGAATCAAGTTTTAAATTGTAGCATTTTGAGCTACACTTCAATTACAAAACTATTCTTCTTTCTGACTTTACACCGCTATCTAGTGATGTATTCTGACTACTATTTCAAACAAGAATTTTTAACTGGCCACCTTATTTTTTTTTCCTTAGATGTAGGCATAAAACCTCTGGAAAATAATTGCCTACTGGACATTACATACACAGCACTAAGGAGAATATATAAATATTTCAAAAAGTGAAAAACCACCAAACTCAGACTGGGGGCAGTAAACAGTGTAGATGGAGGAGCCACATTTCTTTTTTAAAAAGGTGAAGCACCCACAAGTCTTCAAGTAGTGGTGCAGCCTAATCTAGGACATCAGTTTCCAAAGGCAGAAAAAAACTATGTTACAAAAAGCACAAACAACTCCGTGCCCTGTGCAGCCGCTGCATGTCTGTCACAAGTCTCCGAGGAAAAGGCTCCAAGAGAGTAAAGAAGTATTTTGGTTGTTCTGTCATGGAAATGAGGCCCTGTTATTATCCAGCTCCAGAGCATAATGCAGGGAAAACAGTCTGGCAATTTGCATCTCCCCGCTTCATGGCTGTAACAGAATTACATTTGCTGTTCAACAGTTACCTGGCATTTACCAGCAAAGCTGCAGGATGAGCAACACACTTGCTCCTGGAACTGTGAAGCAATCACAGACCTCTGTATGTGCTTGACCAGACTGCTGCATTCTGGAAGTCTCGAGTTTCACATTTCATTTAAACTACCTATTAATTGATGTCTGGTTAAATCAATTGTTTGAAAACCTAGTTCTGCAGCTGCACAAAGGGCAATCAGAGAGGATTTAAATATTCATTTCTCATCAATGTCAACAGGTATGACTGAGTATAAAGCAAGTTAAGTAAAACAGAGGTAATTTTTAGACCACAACTATACAAGCAGTAATTGTTAAGTGGAAAAAATTAAAAAATTATTTTAATTTTTTTTTTACATTTCCCAGATAAAGCAGTTTCCTTGAGCATTAAATATTAGCACTTTGCATTCTTCAATATAAAGATTTAGAATTTCTACACTTACTGTGAAGTGCAAAGATGCCATGAGAACCATGAATGGGAAGAGGGAGAAACAATCTGCCAACCCAAAGCCAGGGGTGCTACACAACAGGGTGCTTCTTCTTAAAGGTACTTCCTTAGAAATTGATGC